ACCTCTAGATCTTTACTTTAAACAGATTGCATCTTAAACTGAATTTTAGGGAAATAACCTTGGTTAACCATGGTGAACGCTACCTCCAAGATACGCAGACATGTATCCAGATGTTAAAAATGCAGCAGACTAAAGATGGACTTTGCCTCCCATAGAGACAAAGCACACTAATCTTCTTTAGTTATGTTAGGCTTTTGCTCTTTTTGTAATGTTGCCAACCTCCTGAGTCCTTTAGAGCAGCTTTATTTGTCAGTAATCTCAGCTTGATAGTGATTGTGTGCCTGTGTGTGTGTGATGGACAGAGAGAGAGAGGAAAGATCAGGCATCAAAAAGAAATACTCAAACCATTAGGTGAAATTGGGAAGTCCATATATATGCGCAGAAAGTGGTGCTTTGGTTTGCAGTGTCAGCATTGTCTAAGAGCTCACATGAATAAGCAATCCCCGATTGAGAAGCAGTCATTTCCCCCTGACCCCTAACCCCTATGACATGCATCATGTCCTGTCTTAAGCAGGATGTGGGATTACCCCTTCATGCCTGACTGATCCTCGATAGGTGTTTAGTCACTGCTGCCCTCATACTGCCGTTCGTCCACTATCAGATCACATCGCTCAGTCGGAGATCGCATCTCTTGAGAGAGAAAGAAAGTGTCTGTGTGAGTTTGTAGGAAAGAGTCACACCTGATTCACTGACTTAAAAGTGTAGAGGAAGTTTATTCTAGATTTAAGGCAACAAAGAGCATTTAGTTAGATTAACATAGGAGATAGTCAACTATCAGATATGGAGCATGAAAAGATGTGATCAACCATCACTTTGCTTGTATGGCAAGAAACCTTTTATTTTTATTTTAGCCTAAAATAATTTGGAACTACAATAGATGCACTGGCCCCGCTGACAAAAAGACGTATCTTCTTTTTCCCAAAACAGATTTGACGACTCTTTTACTGTACAGTAGCTATTATTGTGTAATTATAATGCAATGTCACTACCAGCTTCAAGTTTAAAATACATTGTATGTTTTAGTCATTTGACAACATGTTAAATAGCATTTTAGGATAGATTTTGTGCCTGAAGTCAGTTACTTACTTATGTTTTGTCATTTGGAAATTGCAGATTGTTTTCACTTATAGGGTGAATTCATGTTTGGTGTTTGCTGTGAACACTACAATATCATATCACCACCTTTGAAGCTCATATGATGAACTTATTAGCAAACAGTTGCATATACACATTAGCCTTGATTTGGAATCTTGTTTCTGGCCACCTGATGAATGTAAGTCCTACATTTACAGCTCTGTTTTTGGTAACAACAAACAGTAAAATTGTGGGCCAGACAGCTAAACAATGAGCTGAATCTCACTATAAAGCTCCTTAAAGCTGAGGGGACCTTGGGGTGATATTTCTCACTAGGTTCATCACAAAGAGCAACCCCTTTCATATTGTCATTTGATACATTGTTATTTTAAAAATATCAATTATAGCCACTTTAATTAATGTGTCATTGTCTCTGATAACAGAGAGCAGAAGCCGTGTCCTCAAGGTTGGTGGGGGAGTCCCATGTGCGGACCCTGTAACTGTGATACCAACAGGGGATTTCACAAAGACTGCAACAAGACCTCTGGAGAGTGTCGCTGCAAGGTAAAAACATACACAACTTGACATTTTCCAGATTGATAGGAAATATATGAGCGTTTCTTTTTGTGATTCACTAGATTGTTTTTGTTCACAGCAAGGGTTGCACAGGAAAGGACAATAACAGCCAAATGTTTGGCTAAAGCTAAAGTGCAGAGGTTTTCTGTACAGTATCTATAGCAATATATATATATATATTTTAGAATTTAGTATCATCCTGTAATTGTTACATGTGTGGCCACTGTTCAGTAAAAATAATATAGACTTGCTTTATACATGGCATTACAGACTCACTAATAGCACCCCCAAATATCTAAAAATGTCCTCCTTGCTCACTTTTGATTATCTGAATATAGTATGAGTCATCTACTGTATATCTTCTCCTCATCTTGCAGGAAAACCACTATCGGCCAGAAGGTGAAGACACTTGCTACCCCTGCGAGTGTTTCTCTGTTGGCTCTGAGTCTCGAACCTGTGACCCCATGACTGGACAGTGCCCCTGTAAAGGAGGAGTCATCGGCCGTCAGTGCAACCGCTGTGATAACCCCTTCGCTGAGGTCACTCCCACTGGATGCGAGGGTATGTGGATTCATTTGTTTTGTAATTATGTGCATTTAAAATATGATTTTTCTCCATTTCCTTGATTTGTTTTTCTACTGACAGACTATAATGGTAAGGCAAGAAATAGTAAGATTAAATGTATTAATCCTTAACTGGAAATTGAGTGACTCAAATAAAATAAAATCTTAAATAATAGCTTTGAAGGTTGAAAATAATAAGAAATGTATAACTTATAACTGAAAAGTTTTACATTAAAATGCAACCCCATAGCTATTGCAAAATACTGTCACATGTGGATAATATGCTGTTTGTGATACCATGAATTCAGAGACATTTGTCTAAATAAAAAAAATGGTTTGAAGAGTTCATGACAAGGCCGATAAAGAAAAAAAAATCATTTGAGAAGTTGGGTGTATTATTCCTTTAGATGTTCAGGTTCACAAAGTGAGCCCTGATGAATCGATGAAGTGTCAAAGGAAGACAAATAGTGTCGCTCACATCTGCTGGTGCTGCAGTTAAGCTAACTTCACGTCTTTGTCGCCACCCAGTCAAGCAGAAGAGGCGAGTCTGGCTTGCGGGCGAACTTGGCAGTGGGACTGCACACACACAATACAGTAGAGATGAATAGAAGACAAAACCACAAAGTCCCCTAATTGAAAATGAATGTCAGTGTGCTTACTGTTTAACCCAATAAGAAGCTCTTCAAACTCTCAGAACGTGTTTGGACTTTTAATGGACGCAAGTTCTTTGATTCAATATTGTTAGTTTTTTTTGTTAAAGTAAAATATTCCCCAAATCTAGCTTTTTTCATTTTTGTTTAAGTGGATTTTCAAATCTTAAAGGTCAAATAGATTTGGATTAAGGGAGGAAGTGAAGATGAAAGAATGAAGCAAGCGAGAGGTTTCTTTGGTCATGTCCTACGGGTCACTGAAATGTGACCATCCATGGCAGGCCTCATACCGGTCTGTCAGCTCTGCACCAAACACAGCAGAGCCGAGACATTCAATAAAGCTGCTAGTGTGGTTGTGCGGTTTAATAGAAATGATCCTCAAAGAAAGGCTAAGTGTGTTCAGAAAAATGGGAAAGTGAAAATAGTAGGTACATGAAGACTAGAGCTAAACATGATGAGCTTATTCAATCTAAAGTTGAAGGTTTATTCAGGTTATAAAGTTATGTGTCATAGCAGTGAAGTAGCACTTAAGAGTTAATGAAACATAGGGATTATGGACCGTGTGCGACTAACAGGAGCCACAAACAAGCCAACAGGCCTGCAGGTCCCAGCTTGGTTTGTCTTTATTTATTATTTATTTATTTATTAACCCAGATATGCTGAAATTGATTATGTATCACAGCTTGTGTAATGGCTCTGCAGGCTTAATTTGGTTAAATGTTACTGTGTTGGTCTGTCTGGCTGTTTCATAAGATCACCTAGGTGGCGTCCTGAGGTCTGGATAAGCGGACGTTTACTGTTTAAAGGAACATTTTTGTGGTTCAAATTCAGGTGGTCCAGCTTCTTTTAATGCCTATTTAAGTATCACATAATGCTCTCAAACCAATGTTTAGCTTCCAGCGCCTACCTGTTATATCATTGTGATGAGAGTGGTATGTGGTGGGAATGTTGTGTGTTTACCTACCGGCCCGGAATTAATCCCAGCCTCAGGTTTCAAACCGTATTCACATCTAAACCTTATATGTTCTGTTTGCCCTTTCCCTCCTCAGTGGTCTACGAGGGCTGTCCCAAGGCGTTTGATTCAGGCATCTGGTGGCCCAAGACCAAATTTGGACGCCCCGCCGCCATGAGCTGTCCCAAAGGATCCATCGGTGAGTGCTCCGATGACAAAAGGAACATGTGGAGTAATTATTTTGTAATGTATATAGTCAAAACAGTGTGTTTTAAATTAATTTAAATGAATGATAAAAAAAGAGTTTCTTTGAGTCACAAAGTCTACGTGCCAAAATATTCACAGTTATTGAGTAACAGCAGTTAGATCAAGCTGCACAGGTAGCTGTGTTTTTGTGAGTTCATGTATTTGAAGGCATAATGAACACACATGCTCTCTGATTGGTGCTTTATTACAACAGAGCTTTCTCATCAGCCAATCACACCCAGGTTTGTCTGTAGAGACTCTTGGAATAACACCAGGTACATGAAGAGCTGACAGTAATACCCCTCCTCCTGCAGCTGTGTGTGTGTGTTTGTGTGTGTGAGAGGGAGAGAGACCTTCGAGGTGAACTCCAGATTCGAGTTCACTGACCTGCTCCCAGTAAAGCACTGTCACTTTCCTGGTTACCCCCTTAGTTACTGCCATCTCCATGGTGACCCCTTTGTTGTCTCCCCAGACTCAGTGGGGAATTTATTTGCAAACATTGCTTGTCGCCTTCTCCTAGCTTCTACTGGCAAGTCCTTCAGCCATTTCTTCTTTTTGCAACAATAGCATTTGAAGTGACTTTGCATTTGGATGAAGCCTTTTCTTAAACTGAATCAGACTGGAACAAGTCAGTATGGTTTCAGATATTTAGACCACTAAGACAGAAAGTGTTTTACATTTTTGAGGCATTAACTATTGCAAATATTCAGAGCAGCTCAGCTACAGTATCCAGTAGGGGTTCATTGTCATGCACGCGGGCCGTTGCATTTAAACCTGTGACTTTCTGTGAGTGGCTGTGGCTCAAGAAGTAGAGCGGGTCATCCACTGAGAAGGCTGGTGGTTCGCTCCCTTGAGCAAGATACTTCAGTGTATAAGTGTGTAAATGTGGCATGTAGTGTAAAGCGCTTTGGGTGGTCAGAAGACTAGAAAGGCAATATATAAGTGCAGTCCATTTACCATTTATTTTTTGACAAATTATGTTGTATTTGCATCTTTACTACTAGCCCTCTACATCACTTCTAATGTTTAATTCTAGACTATACATTATTACCTATCAAGAAAAATATTTATTGTTTTTTTTAAATGTAGTTGGCATTATCTTTTGTTAGCCTTCAGTAGTGTGAACATGTATGTCTGTCAGTTGAAATGTCCTCCCTGCTGTTGTATTTTTACAGGTACTGCCATCCGCCACTGTAGCGATGAGAAGGGCTGGTTGCTGCCTGAGCTCTTCAACTGCACCACCATCACTTTCTCCCATCTGAAGAAACTGGTGAGTACTACACAAAGTAAAACAATTTAATTCTCATCCTTCTCAGGTGGAAATGATGACAATATTTCAAGGTTTAACTGAGATTGAAGAAGTGAAGGTGTGTTCAGATACTCCTTTCAGATCAACTGAATAAACTGAAAAATGTATTATTTCTAAACTAAAGCTCATGACATTTAGAAAGGCAGACACATCCTAACCAGTAGTTATCAGATTGTTGTTGCCTTTGTGATGAGGAGTACACCTCACTAGTTCTTAATAATGATCATACTGATCGCTAGTAGTTATGTAAAAGAAACTATGCATTGTAAGGGAGCTGATGTCTCTTCAATAAAGTGTAATTTCACAGGATGAAGTCTATAGGAGATTTACACAAAGCATTGCATCTTTTGTGTTTGAACCTGAACCTAGTACTCAAAGCTTTAGCTTCTGAAAGTCCCACTAATCCTGGGATTGACCAATTTCTATCATGTTTCATCATACCCACTCAGCTTTCCTTTGCCTTGACCTGCTCGTTCTTGCTCTGTTTGCGTCCCTCAACCCTCCATTCTTCCAGAACGAGGACCTGCGTCGCAACAGTTCAAGGATGGACAGCGAGCGCTCCAAGACCATTGTGCGTTTGCTTCACAGCGCTACCAACAACACCCAGAATTACTACGGCAACGACGTGAAGATGGCCGCCCAGCTGCTGAATCACGTGCTGCAGTACGAGAGCCGGCAGGCAGGATTCGACCTCACTGCCATGAGGGATGCAGATTTCAATGAGGTACAAAATGAAACGGAATGTGCAGATCAACTTTTGCTTTTTTTGGTGATCACTGGGGCTAGAATTCAACTTTAATGAGTTATTGGAAAATATGTTAAAGCTTTCATTTGTGAAACCTAGTCTGCAGCACTGGGAGCACTGGTAGCACACTGCCCTCCACTGGTTGATTCTCACAGAGAGAGCAACTTGATCAATCACTGTAGTGACCTAACACTTCCACCGTTGCTTTATTTCTAGTCCCTTTGATATTTGTCTGATGAATTTGCTTTAAATAATCTACAATTATGTTGGATTTTTCCAGAACTTGGTGCGAGCAGGTAGCTCCATACTGGATCCTGACAACAAGGAGCACTGGGAGCAGATCCAGAAAACAGAAGGTGGCACCGCCCACCTGCTACGCAACTTCGAGGACTACGCCAACACCCTGGCTCAGAATGTCAGGAAAACCTACCTGAAACCCTTCACCATCGTCACAGACAACATGAGTGAGTCTAGGAGCTTTAATCACCCTGTGTAGAACTGTGACACGTAATCACACCTGGCAAATCATCTTCATCCTATCTCCTCTTCTTCCTGCCACTTATTATCTAGTTCTAACCGTGGACTACCTGGATGTGTCAGACCCGGAGAAGGCGACGTTGCCTCGGTTCCAGGACATCCAGGAGGCCTACCCCAAAGAGCTCGGGTCCTCCGTCCACTTCCCCCAGTTCAACCTCCGCTCTCAGGGCCACGGAGGTACAAACGCAGGCAGAGTCAGACCATTTGTTTCTTTTGTGCTGCGAGAATTTAAAATGTGTAAAGCTCCACTCTTCTCAGTTTATCTATCTCCATCCCCTGACAGCAGAGTCCACTCCTGCCCCTCCAACTCAGACCGACCCCCCACAGGAGGAGGAGCACACAGTGTCCGATAGGAGACGGCGCCATCTTGAGCCAGCTGCCCCTCTGCCGGTTGCCGTGGTGATAGTGTACAAATCACTGGGAAAGCTCCTCCCGGAAAGATATGACCCTGACCGCAGGAGTCTGAGGTAAACAGTTTAAGTTTTTCTGCGTTGTCATTACCTTAAAATCCTTTCCACTGCCACATTAGACACACCATTATTTTGGAGTGCAGACCATCTCAGCTTGGAGTAAATTATGAAGTGTAGACCAACTGTTGCAAACAAGGCCTCAAATAATGGAGAATGATATTTAACAGAGGGGAAAAAGAGAGCCCATACACTCTATCTGAACTCTCTACTGTACTTACAGATGTGTATACAATTCATCATATTCTGTAAACGTTTGAAGAAACCCTACGTCACATGGAAATATTTTATCTTTAATGTTAATACATTCAATAATATTTACTGTAGGTGTGTTTGAAGGAGCCACCTTATCAGTGATTGCATAGGCCTTTAAGATTCTGTTCAGCTATTCAGAAAACTGAACGTGGAGCCGGGGAGTGTTTTCTATTCTTGATGTGGATGGAAAGAGAGAAAGTTACTAAAAATATATTTCCAAGAAAAGAATAAGAAGTTAACAAAAGGATGAGAGAGAATATGACCAAATGTAAACAAGCTTTGGGTCTGTTATGGTATGGTCTACTGTACATTAGTGGCTGCGTGTGCATGTGTGTAATGAAGCCATAAAAAGCAAATGCAATCTCACCGTAGATCAGTGTTTAAAAACTTGAATTGTGTTTCTTTATGTCTTTCCAGGCTTCCCAACCGTCCAGTGATCAACACAGCCATAGTGAGTGCCACTGTGCACAGTGAGGGTCCGCCTCTCCCTCCCATCCTGGACCCCCCCATCACCTTGGAGTACACCTTACTGGAGACAGAGGAGAGAACCAAACCTGTATGTGTCTTCTGGAACCACTCTATCGCGTGAGTTGCTCACACACAGACACACACACACACACACACACACACACACACACACACACACACACACACACACACACACACACCCGCCCAATGTTTTTTTTTTTTTTGTTTGCCTTCTGCTGTAACTTTCTCACTTTCGTCTGTTGTGTGTGTTTAGGATCGGAGGCACAGGCGGCTGGTCCTCTAAAGGCTGTGAGGTGCTCAACAGGAACAACAGTCACATTAGCTGTCAGTGTAACCACATGACCAGCTTCGCCGTGCTCATGGACATTTCCAAGAGAGAGGTATTGCCATTTCATTGAAATGAAAATATTTGTCATTTCAGCTTCTTAGAAAACATCCAGCTAAGCTTACCATTTTCTGCCTTTTGCCTTGTTATTGACTTCCGACTGCTCTCCACAGCACGGTGATGTCCTCCCCCTGAAGATCGTCACCTACACCACGGTGTCAGCCTCCCTGTTCCTCCTCCTTGTCACCTTCATCTTGTTGTGCCTCTTGCGCCGGCTCCGCTCCAACCTCCACGCCATCCACAGGAACCTGGTAGCAGCGCTGTTCTTCTCTGAGCTCGTCTTCCTGCTCGGCATCAATCAGACTGACAACCCGGTGAGTGTATGCTTAGCCCACAGAAAATAGAGTGCATGTACAATGTAGAGACTTCTCTGTTTATCCGCAACATATTCTCATGGTTCAAGTCAGTGGGTTCCTCATTTTTGGTCAGATGTCCTCCCACTGTCCTGTCAGATGAACTCAAGTACACCTTTACTGGCACCGCCTACCATATTACAAATGTGTTAATTAATGATTTTAAACAGGATATTATTCAAACACTATTAACAGAAATGTTGCCCAGTCTCTGCTTACGCTGGCTTGTGCTGTGGGTAACATATAGTTACAAAAAAGAGGAAGGATTACATCTGGGGCATTTAGCATTCAGAGCCAGTTCTTCTGCTATGCTTGTGGCATGGTGGAACTTGAGAGGGGATAAAGATGTTTCACTTTGGTGTTTACTGTATTAAAAAGAGCCAGGCATCCTACGATATTTGTTTTGCCAGCGGGCAGCCACCTAACTCGGTGCTGACAGGAGCTTTACCAGGCTTAATAGGCCAAGGTCTACCTGAGACCCTGTCTTTGACAGATTATGTGTTTTGTTTCTTGGCTAATGACTTTCATAGTTAGGAATGTGCTGGTTGCCAGAGCCCTTTCCAGATATAACCTCCTATAAGTGGATTTTTATTGAGGCTGGATGTAACTTTGTTACTGTAAACCTCTCTAATTCAAAATGTGTAGGATAAAGGCTAAGATCGTAAAAGAGTCGGAAGTCAGGACTCTAATAAACTCATTATGTTAAGTTCATAATCCAGTTTGGAGTTGGGTAGGTCACAGAAACATACATGTGCACACACATGTATACAGTAAAGGATCAAAAGGTGTGGGAATTCTTTGAAGTCTGCTGACACAGACATTCGGACTCACACACACACACACACACACACACACACACACACACACACACACACACACACACACACACCCTCCGTGTGCCAGTAGTGGAGACATGCTGTGACTGGTACCTGTCTCCAGAAGCAAGCCTCAGGGCGATAGGTCCTGGCAATGGTTTCCCAAAACAACTTCTTAGTTTTCACTTGATAAATGTCCTTCATGTCTGTGGTACAGAAACATCATTAATCTGGTAATTAATGGGTAATCCTGCTTTGTTTTTAAGAAGAAATGAGGTTTGGAAAGCTGGGACATTAGGGGGTTCTTTGGGAGACACAAGGACAGATGTAACCAGTGGACAAGTAGCATTGTAAATCTGTTTAGTGACATAAATGCCAAATAGAACAACATACCTGATTCATCAGATTTTACTTTGATTTGTAATCTGTCCAGGCTCAAGTCTTCCAAATAAAACAAAGCAGCACTGTGGCCACAAGTAGCAATTACTGGATAGGGGTAAATGCTAAAACATAGTGTAACAGTGGCAAAAGTGGATAAGAGTCAGAAAACAGGTATAGAACAATGTCTTACATTAGCAACATTTGGCCACCAAAAGCTACTGATCATACCAGATGAAGTAAAGCAGTAGCAGCAAAACTCCTCAGTGTATTGAACTGATGTTTCAATGCCTATGAGTTCAACTTTTCATATGTACAGTAAGGGGAAGAATTAGTTATTTCTTCTGTCAAAAGTTATATCGTGTCACTTGAAAATAAATGTGTCAGCTCTGACTAGTCTGGCCTAACCAGATGTCTACCGTCTCACACAATGCATCACAAGATCATCAGGTCTAAGTGTCAGTCATGTAAGACTGTGGTAGGTAGTAACTGCCATCCCCCAGCCGTCAACCACACATACGTTTTGGCTCTGACCATCACAATCAGAGATTAAAGTCAGCTCAGGTTGCATAGCCCTATATCCCATACAATCTGTCAGTGGACCTTACATGCTACTATAGCAATGCCCTTTTTACCAATACGTCACACCTCATGTAATATAGAACAGTAACACACTGCAAGGGTTGTAGCGAAGGTGATGATCGCAGGAAGTAGACAATTAGATTGCTGATCTTGAAGAAGGATGGAGGGCAGAAATGTCAACAGCCAAATAAAAGGGAAATGTATATGGAGCCAGAGTGTGAAACACTTTTTTCCTACTCCTATTCCACGCCTCATGCCATCAATAAATAAAGGATGTTCCATAGAATTGAGAACTGAGAGAACTTAAACAGACTCATGCACCCTGGAACATAATCTGCCGAATAATACAGCATCCCCTCTTCGTTTGGATGACTCAGAAGTCCTTGTTTAGAGAAAAATAAATTACAAATATGAAAGCAAAGGAGCCCACAAATCCTCAAAAGTGGATAGTGCGTACCGCAACGGCATGGGTTCAATTCCACCTTGTGACCTTTGCTGCATGTCATCCCCTCTTTCTCTCCCCACTTCCTCACTTCAGCTGTCAAATAAAGGT